GCATATTCTCCAGAGGGCTCTCTACGTTTTGTCTTTGAGGAAGTGTCCTTTACAGGAGGAACTTCGAACCTAATGGCAAAACGTTTTTACTAGTCGTACCCCCAGCCATGCGAGAGGAAATTCTGCATGCATGCCACGACGAGCCAACATCTGGACACATGGGTGTGAATCAAACATTCACCAGGATTCGCCTGAAGTGCTATTGGCCTAAGTTGCTCGCATCAGTGCAGCGCTACATTAAAACTTGTCATCAATGTCAACGGCACAAAACTCCACCCGTAAGACCAGCCGGCCTTCTCCAGCCAATAGACCCTCCGGATGCCCCATTTCAACAAGTCGGCATGGACTTTCTAGGATATTTCCCGACATCGTGTGCAGGCAAGAAATGGATAGTGGTAAACACAGACTATCTGACCCGTTATGCTGAGACTGACTCTCTGTACAGTGCGACAGCTGCCGAAGTTGCCAAGTTCTTTGTGAACAACATAGTGCTCAGACATGGTGCGCCCATCATCGTTATTACGAATCGGGGCACCGCATTTACTGCAGACCTAATGCAATGCCTGATGCACATTACAAATACCGATCACAGAAGAACAATGGCGTATCGCCCTCAGTCAAATGGCTTAACCGAACGCCTCAACAGAACTCTGATCGACATGCTATCAATGTATGTCGATGTTGAACATTGACAGTGGGATGAAATATTACCCTACATAACATTCGCAAATAATACAGCCGTTCAAGAAACAACCCGCGTTGCCCCTTTCGAACTAGTATTCGGCCAAAGAGTGACCACCCTACTGGATGCCATGTTACAACTACGAGAAGAAAGCAGCTATCCACCTGACTTAGATGACTTCTTGCAAAGAGCCAAAGAAGCACGACAAATGGCAATATATCGAACATGCCGCCAATAGCGCGTTGATTCTAGTCTGTACAACAAGCGACGCAGTGACGCACTTTATCATCCCGGTCACAAAGTGTTGATATGGATCCCAGGGCGCCGCCGCGAACTCTCTGAAAAGCTTCTTTGCCGATACTTCGGCCCTTATGAAGTACTCCACCGTATCAGCGACGTAACTTATGAAGTCAGATCTGCTGGACACGAGAGCTCAAGACGCCGCAATCCCACGGAAGTAGTACACGTAGTCCGCATGATGTCCTATCATGACAGATCGTCAGAAAACGAGTGAGAGTGCGCATGTATCTTTTTACTGTCTCAAGCATCATGACGATGCGTCTGAGGAGGGGGATAATACCGCGACGGGTTGGCCACGTTCAAGTAGCCCGCCGCAATCATCGTGGCACAAGCACCAGGCAAGACCCGGCTGGCATGCGCCGCGCGTTCGTGGGTTAGGGCTACGAGGAAGAGAAAGACAGTTGGAGCTGTGCAACTCAGCTACTCGAACTTCGACGACCATAGTCATTAGACTCGTGGGCACAAGTTCGCCCTAATAAAGACTTGTTTTTTAGCCTGTCTGCCTCGGCATCGCTACAGTATTCAGGGTGTACACTCTGAGGTATGGGAGCCACGATAATATGCTCTCTTGGTTCTCGAGGAACGATGCAGTAGCTGGTGTCAATTTCTGTCAGGTGAACACCAAGCTCTTTCAGGATGTTTCTCCTGGCTTAAATGGTGGTGCTGTAAAAAACTTGTGAAGAGCTAATGCGTCAGGAGGATATGGAAAAGTAATGGAGTAAAGAGATGTTGAAATTGCAACCTACTTCCAACCAAGAGGAAAACTTTCACTTCCTCCGTTTACAAGATTTATTTTTAGTTTTCTTTTATTTCCCCGTATGCTGCCACCAAATCAATGGCCAATTCCCTGTAGTGAGTTTCGCCACCCTACTAACCAACCACGTGCATTGTCGAAAAGAGCACAAGTTGCACTATTGGCACTTGGGCCCCCACACTGAAGATAATTCAAGTTTGGGTGTTCGGCTTTTCCAGGACGGCTTAATGCTGGGCCCTTCACTTTGAAACAGTATTTCACATTGATAAGTCAGTGGCCAAACAATTATCTCCAAAGAGGCAGAAAACACAATGGCATAAGACCTTGCACTCAAGCTGGCACTGCTGCTTCCGTTACACATTCCATTCCGGAATGAGAACTGCCTGAAGGCTACATGAAGCAAGTGCCTCTTTTCATTTCGATCTACAAAATAGTGTGCTTTTGCATAAATTACCGAGTACTCAAGATATCTTGGAATGTAAGGTTTGTAACAAATACATGGATGCTATTATATCACTGTGTGTTAATGTATGAAAGCAGAGGGCAAAAGATGCAGCTGAATGCCCTAGTGCTACTTAGAGTGTGACGAGTATACAGACCAGCCTTACTGAGAATGATTTCACTCATGAAAACGCATTGCATAAAAGGTACAACACAAGAAGCCGAGTGTCGTAAAGACACCTTTCACCACAGCAATATCTCACCACTTGGACGCTTTTCAATAGAACAAGTGTAGGAAATTTTTGGATCCTTTGTGCAAAAAAAACTTTGAATCAACAAAAAATGTTTTTTTTGTTACATTGTATGCCTTTAAATGAAGTCTTAGAGCCCTACCAAAAGGGGCTTTGCAACATTTTTTAAAGTAACCACCGAATGGCTTCGCAAGAATTTTCAGAATCTATCAAGTACAAGCGAAGCTGGAGACGTATGTAACTGCGCGGTAGTAAACACGGACGACAAGAAGATACAAGGACAAGCGCTTGTCCTTGTATCTTCTTGTCGTCCGTGTTTACTACCGCGCAGTTACATACGTCGATCATGAATCACCAACTCGCCCAATCGTCCACCTTGAGAAGCTGGAGACTTTTTGCACACTGCAATTGCTTTCTCTCATTATGATGAAAGCACTAGAAGCTAAGCAGGGAGGGATGGCACGTGGGAAAAAAGTTGTCGTGCAAGCATCATGACCTTGAGCACTTTCTTTTTTCCTTAATGCACGACTAACCTTCAGTAAGATCACGAGCTCAGGGGCACATAATGGCCTCCTGAAGCGGGTGCAGGTAGCTATGCAGCCCACAATGCTCAAATCAGCTAATGGCCGTGAACTTGGGCATATGGAGCAATCATTTAAGTATATGACATCATTTATAGAGAGTAGAGGGGGGATTTTTAGCTGGATTTGAGAATTTTAAATTCCAGGCCATGCTACAATGTTGAGACTCGCGCATTCTGGGCAGCCTTGACTACAGATCGGCAGCATTTTCTGACTAAGCTGAAAAGAGTTGGAGGGCCCCTTTAACATGTTGCACATGTTAAAGGAGCCCTCCATCCTTTTCTGATTGTTTTTTTTTTTCCAGTGTTACCTTTTCCTTTAAGTCTGTTCAACATATAAGTATTTTCGCTTTTGTATTTATTTTTGCACTGTTCATTTTCGTTTGCACCAAAAAGGCTGTACCCTTTGGGTACAGCTTTTGGGGCTCCTTGAGTATTACAAATTTTGTACAAACTTTTTTTGTAAACTAATAAGTAGATATTGAATTAAAACTCTGAATAAACATTATATAATAGTAATTTGGAAGAATTGGTGGGGAAGTCACAAGTGCTAAATAGTTTTTCTTTTACATTTTGTTAAAAGTGGGCTGTCAGCATACCGAGCACACTAAATATAAGTAAATGCCCAGAATGGCAGGACTGTTAAACGCGATGCCAAGGTGTAGGTGAAATCAGTATATATGCACGGATACTCTGGAATCTATGGATAAGTGTGCTTTTGTTTTATTTTGAAGATCCTCTAAACCAGAAACAGCATATGCATGGTTGTGACGGGACACTATTGTGTACAAAAGTGACAGCCTTGCTTCGTAATATTTGGGGCTTCACATGCGAGGCCATGATATGATTATGAGACACACTGAGCAGTTTTGAACATCTTGCATTAAAAATCCATGTCAGCAGCCTTGTTTCATCAATGAGAGCAGTGCTTCAAGTTCTCTCAGGCGAAGTGTCACAGGCAAGTGCTGACCACTAACCAGTTCAGGGATTTCTAATTAAAGTATCTGGGCATTGATGCTTCGTTCAAAGATCAAGTCCCATACATTCTGCAGTCCCAATTAGATCAAATTAATTAACAATGTCACAATTTTCCCTCTCGCAGTGGTGCACTTTTGACAATGCACCAGTAGGCTATATGTTTACATGGCAACGAGACATAGTGAACTGCTTGTAGCAACATGGGGCTCAAATAGTGCTTAGCATCTCGAGAGATCGACATGGTTAATAAACTTGCTAGCCTACCTATTACCTAAAATTTATGCAATCGTCTGATACATCAAAACCTCAGACAATAGAGAAACCCCCTGCACCTACCTTACAACGCCACTTACATAACCAAACAGGAAATGTTCCTGGAATCGACATTCTGACAACAGCCTTTCTTGTCAAAACATTGGCTCCTGCGCAATCTCTTGTTCTAAGGGTTTTTTTTTGGGGGGGCACTCGCTCTCTGGATTTCGCGCCGACCGGTTGTACCCCCACAATCTTTGACGACAGCGCAGCTCTGGCCGAATAGCTTGCCTTACGCCATCTCCTGACGCCGACAAGAGCTCTTGCTGAGTGGTGCCCCGTCCTCAGACTCCTGCGACTTTGTCCATCTTTCCTATCTCCTCTTTACATCTGTCGTTCTCTGTCTCTGCGCCTTGCTCTCTTCTTCCTTTATCTATTTACCTTTTAATCCTATTCTTTTAATCCCTCCTTTACCCCCATCCCTCGGGCGATACTGTTGAGGTGTCGCACTCTGATGCAGACAGTCACGGGGCTCACTTTTCTCTTTAAGAACCACATAAGATTTTTGTTATCCCTTCGAGCCTCAGTCTGCTTTCGCTCATTCATTTTGTTTGGCTGCCACTAACAGCGGAAAAATGTCAATTTAAAAACTACTGGCAGACACTTTCAAACAAGCCAACCTGCCTAAAAGATTGATTTGCAATTGAGGACAGTCATTTCGCATCACTTGACAAATGGTACATGCAAAAAAAGGTTCAAAAAGGGGAAGCACCTACTTTTATTTTTTGAACATGGCTGATGTTACCTCGTAGGTTGCCTTAATAGGTAAATGTATCTTTTTATCTAGCTCGGAAATGACTCCTCGCAAGTAGTGTTTAGCTACTGAATGACGGAATTGGTATACAAGTATTCGTGCGACAGCACTTGCGGCCTTAAGCTGAAAGTGCTGTGTCACTGTGCAGGCACTGCTGCAAATCTCGACAGGCAACGAAAATACTTGACCTTGACGGATACAAGGCTACGTTTTAACTCCAGAAATGGGCCATTTAATAGCAGTGTTGTGAAACATGACCAGGAATAGGGCAGCATGGTCGCCTAGCTTCGAGCCTGCAGCTTCTCGCGCTCCTTTTCTTTCTTGGAAGCTTCCAGCTTGGCCTCCTCCTCTTCGTGCTTCTTTATGAGCTTCTCGACCGCCGACACAGGCAGGACGGTGACGCGCGTCTTGTTACGTCGCGTGTCTCGAATCAGCGTAGCCATCTCGAGCTTGTCAGCAGTGAGCTTCGTCATGTCGAGGGTCTTGCTCAGAACTTTAATGGCCAGAGCCAGGGCATCCTTCAGTGTCATCTCGTTTTCCTTGTATTCCTGCTTGAGGATGGAGACGGCGGCAGCACTGTTGTTGCCGATGCACGTCGCCTTCCAGCCGCTGTAGTTGCCACTTGGGTCGGACTGGTACAGCTGGTAACCATAGTGCTTGTCCCAGCCCATGTAGAGGATTGACACACCGAATGGACGCTTACCACCGTACTGCGTGTAAGCTTGCTTCAGGTCGCAAAGCCAACTGACAAGGCGCTCGCAAGGGATGGACTCGCCGTACTGAAGCAGGTAGCGCTGAGCAATCTGACGCAGTTCATTGGTGAGCACGTTCGCGTCCGAAGTGATGCCGGCCACACTGCAGGCCATGTCGTCGTGCAGCTTGTAAATTTTTTCGGCCGTGAAGACCTCATCGAGCAGCTTGTTTGTGTTCCTTCGCTCGGCGGCCAGTAGGATGCCGTCGGAAGCCAAGATGCCCAGGCATGTACCGGCGTGACCAATTGCTTCCATGGCGTATTCAACTTGGTAGAGCCTACCTTCAGGGCTGAATATGGTCGTTCTGGAATCATAGCGGCGTGCCATGATGAGCACTAAGTTCGGGATTCACTGGGATCGCACGAGTGATCAACAATACAACCCGCCGCTCTCGTGACTTGCAGATCCTCGCCTCCACAAGCTTCGCGAACAGCGCCACTGAAGAAGCATTCACATGCTGAAGTCGCAGTGCCGAATTCGTAATTGTGTATTTATCATTTTAAAATACAAAAATAAATGTGAATTCTTACACGTGATTAAAAGTTTATGTTGTATTTAGAAACTTGTCTAATAACTTGTCAAACTTGGAATCTCTTTGTAGTTACGAAACTAGCTAAGATGTTTGGCATGTTGTTTTGCGCTCTCAATTCGACCGGTGTGCATTCTAATCCATTCTAATCACAGTGAAGACATGAGCTACAGTAACTTCGAAGTGTCTATCGCAACACTCACCTACCTTCATAAAATAGCAAAAGAATGCGCTCCTATATCTTTGCCGCTTACAAGGTGCATCAGGTTAGTACGCACGTTACTTATTGTGTGCGCCATACGACTCCTCGTCTTTTTCGACATCTATTTAATGCTTACTGCCTAATGCTTGCATTTTCTCGCTCATTCAGCTACCGTCTTCTGGAGTGCAGTGGACGAAGAGGTAAGTACCCTTATTTTTTTCCCTTTTCTCTTGAAGACTGTGCATATGTAACTTTTCTTCCAAGTGCGACGTTTTCTGTTTTGTTTTTTCCGCCTAGGTGTCGGTGATAAACATTTGACGAAGTGTGAGACTTGTGGAATAGCTTGGGACCCATCCAGTGTTAAAATCCGCACAAAACCTAGACTTCTGTTGCGAAGGAGCATTAGGAAGCTGCTTGCCAAAGAGCGGCACCGGCCATGGCTTCTCAACTCAAGGCAAAAGAAACTACTGAAGCGTTTCAATCGTGCTACAACAATGCTAGTCAGTGCTGATATCTATTGTCTTTCATATGAATCTCTTTTGTTTCAAGTTTTACCTGATTCTTCGTAAAATGAAAGTAATGGTGAACAAATTTGCTTCTATGTTATGTACATTGTGCGCTTACTTGCAAATTCGCATGACACGGCCATATCACTACCAGTGTCATGTTCCTGGTTATGTGCATACATGCATTCACTCTCGTCGCACAAACAAAAGTGCTACGTATTATGAAATAAACTGAGTGAAAATTTTAGTGCATCCATAAAAAGCCACACTCTGGATACCACCAACCATTTATCCTCACTGTTGTATAACAAAAAGACAATACCGCATTCTGATTATCAAACATATTAAAAGTGCACCATTGTGTGCAAAAGCTAGCCCGAGAAACATGAAACAAAAAGCAGAGCAAGTCATTCTTGTCATGTGTTTGTGTTTCTTGTTTAAGGCGATCATTGGCTGTCAACCTTGTATTGCAGGCAGTGTAAAGTGGCAGAAGCTTGTGCATTTCACTTGTCTAGCATCTAATTTAATTCGTCTTTTCTTGCCTTGAAGGTATACCTGTGCAAAATGTGTGGCAAAAAGCAGGAGCAAGCTTGTCCAAAACCATTGAGGAACCAAACATCTACAGCCAATTCAACCTTTTTCTGCCGTAAAGAAATGGGTGCTAAGAGGTAATCCTAAATACCTTTCCTCCAAGTTTTTCTTTGTATATCAAGCCACATTTTCATGTGTTTTTTTTTTTAATGTTGCATAAGTTGTCAAGCACAGTGTATTGATTTCTATAAGAATAATCTAAAAGGAATTTTTTTAGCATATACACTTAGTATTTGCTTTTATAGAGGAAAAAGGCCCTGCGCGTGCTGTTCCTATTTCAGAGTTGATATTGTGGCAACGTGCAAAGAACAGAACACAAGGCTTCGTTTCAACGTTAACAGCAAGGCTCTATTCGCACACAAAAACAAAGCACAAGAGCAGACGCGCAACGCCATCCTCCTCCAAAAATGCCAGAGACTGCCGCTCGTGATGCTGGCTTCTTCCTCCTCTGTTGTGCTTACGGCTAATAACCGTGACATTAGCCTCCCTTTCAAGAAGGCATCGTCCCGATGCTTCATTATCATGGTGGCCGGGTTAGTAGTCACTGGCAGCCCACTGGTTCATTCGGACAAATAAGGCTTTATCCGAACCACGTGCACAACTTCTGGTGCATGTCTTTGACGTCTTGAACAATGTGAACTGTCGGGAATCACCTCATAGTTAACATCACTGAGACGCCGGAGGACTTTATACGGCCCAAAGTATCGCCTTAAGAGCTTCTTCGAGAGGCCACGACGGCGAACTGGGGTCCAGATCCAAACTTTTTCTCCTGGTTCATAGGAAACTCGTCGGTGACGAAGATTATAGCACCTTGTGTCATAGTCCTGGTGGCGACGAATACGTACACGGGCAAGTTGGCGGTCTTCTTCAGCAAGCTGAGTTATGTAGTCTGCACTTGTTTCAACGCCATCACTTTCATGCGGCAACATAGCGTCGAGCATGGCTGTGATGTCACGACCATAGAGAAGACGGAATGGTGTAATGCGTGTTGTCTCTTGCTGTGCCGTATTGTAAGTGAAAGTGACATAAGGCAGTATCTCGTTCCAGTTTTTATGTTCCACATCTACGTACATGCAAAGCATATCCACAAGCGTTTGGTTCAGCCGTTCCGTCAGACCACTTGTTTGTGGGTGGTATGCTGTTGTACGCCTGTGAGATGTTCCACTTAGGCTTAAAACTGTGTGTAATAGCTCGGATGTGAACGCTTTTCCTCTGTCAGTTATTGCTACAGCGGATTGGAATGGTGCATGCTTTTACTTGAAATGACATAGGGACCATCAATAAATGGGGCAGGGACGGCACCTTATGGAGGGTGTAAGGGGCTAGAGCCCCCCCTAATTTTCGTGTGCCCCCCTCCCTCCAAAATGGGAAACATTGTCAGAACCAGCGCCTCCTGTATTTTTTTTTTGTGCGTGCCGCGTGAGCGCCACGACTGCTGCCAAGCCCTCTCCCATTACTCTCTCGATTTTGCCCCTAGACGGCGCTGCGTTATTACTCTCTTCCAGGCAACGCTCTCCGCCACTCGCATGCTGGCCTTTGCCGCTTTTTCTGTCGTCTGCTAAATAGAAGTGCGAACATTGTTTAGAGTTGTTGCCATCACAATAAAAGAAGTAGTATTCATGTGTAAATAAGAATAAAGGGGAAATAAATTGCCAGTATGACTCTTACCAGAGTGATAATACGTGTGGCAATCGCCTTGCTGACGACAAGTTGCACTCGTCGTATGGTCGCAGAGGCAGTTGTAGGTCTGTCTGTTTGCTTCAGTGGGGATGTTCTCCTGCCTTTTCATCGGTCACTATGCGCTGCTGTTGCGTTCCGTTCTGCACTTCTAATCAGCGAAAAAAAAAAGAAGCAGGAGTGTCCTTTCACGAGATACCAACGAACACTGAGTTACGTGAACGATGGCTACGAGTTATCGCAAGAAAGAACTGGGTGCCGAATTCCACCTCAAATTACTCGGCCATGTGCAGCCTACATTTTGTGGAAGCTGACTTTCGTGAAAATACTAAGAGGCGTATGCTAAAGCCCGATGTGGTGCCTAGTGTGTTTCCTCATTATCCATCATACATAAAAAAGCAGCCACCTAAGGAGAGAACCTGCAGCAGCATACAGAAGAGAAAGCGTGATTCTTTGACGAACACGTTGGCAACTCTGCCAAGTAAAAAAATCGATTCGCACCCTGCATCGGCACAAGAAGTTTGCACGGACACGCTTACAGAAGTCACTGAGCCCAGTGGCTGGCAACAACCAGAAAGTGTTTCTTCAAGTGACATCCACGAATTGCCTTTTGTGACAGCAGCTAGTGGCTACTGTCAGTCCGCGAACGTCCTTGAGCCACCAGATGTGAAACCAGCGGAAGAGGGTGCAGGCGCGTGTGCCTTGAGGTCAGTTGGTGTCCAAGTCAACAGTAGGAGCACTGCATCAGCCTTCATGGGGCGAAAAAAATGGTGCGAGAAGGAAAGAGCATGGAAGACTGCAGGCAACAGTCGATGCCTTTAAGAAGGAGCTTCAACAATTGAAGGAAGAGTGCAACGTGAGCAAATTTCTTGAAGTCGCCAGGGACTCTGATCAGGGCAGCATTAAAGCCAGAGTCATTATAGATCAAGTGCTAAATTGCAAGGCGAAAAAACCGAAGTGGTGTGAAACCACTATACGACAATGTATAATGTTGTGGAACTTCTCGACAAAGTCGTATGAATATGTAAGGACAGAGCTCCTCGCGCTCCCGTGCCGAACTACGCTTCAAAAGTACCTGGGAACTAAAGTCGGAAAAATAGCTTTCAGTTTACTAGTGAAGCAAAGGCTCAATGCTGAAATGAAGTGCCTCGGGACAGAGCAGGCCGAAATGTGCAGCCTCGTTGCAGATGAAATGAGGATCAAGTAAAGGCTTGAATACAACAAGCAAAGAGATGTTTTCCTGGGCAATGTAGACATGGGTGCTCTGAACAAAGTTTTGTCAGACTCGGAAAGGAGCGAACTCGCTTTTATGCTTCTTGAGCTGTGGCCTTCATGCTAGGTTCTGGATCCCAGTGGGTTGCTTCTTTATCAAAGCATGCACTGGGGTATATTCACTAAAACTACCTGGACACCAGGTAGTTTGCTGATACTGAGGGCTGCAGACTTCATCGGCTTGAACTTGTTTTCTTTAGAATATGTTGAACAGCTGAAGGCGGCAAGTGCACCGATGAACTTCCTGACCAAAGAAACTCTCCATGCACTAGTATTCACCACTGTTGCCAACGTCCAGTGTATCCATTTTTTATTAGATAGAGGGTTCAAATTTGTATTGACTAGAAAGTTTTCAAGCGACCCCATCGAATCTCTGTTTGGGACCTTTCGACGCAGCACTGGCTGCAATGATATTGTAACGGGGTGAGAGTAGGCAGAGGGTAGAAATATATTTACCGATTGTAGACGGAGTACACAGTGTCCTTGAACCAAGATGGCGGAGTGGCAACCCCCAACGAGCTTTTGTTCAATCGTCATCTTCATCGTCGTTATGGTGCCTTTGTTGATGTTAATGATGACTTGTATCAATATGCTAAATGTGAGAAGCTGTCTTGCGGGCCTTGAGAAGATTCTGAAGATAGGCATTGTTGTGGCTTCACGCACAAGCAATGTGCAAAGCTCATCTTCTTTCGTTTCCTCGGGGAGCATTATTAGGAGCGGCGAGACAAGCAGCACGCCATCAACAAGCGCGTTCGCAGCAGTGAACTCTGTGCAGCACCTACTGCATGCGCTCTGCACTTCCTCGAAGCCGTTCCTGCCTACGGCAGATGTAGCAGCAGTTTCACGCGTCGCAGGATTCCTATCCCTTGTTGTGCGCAAGAAAAGTGAGTGCGACGCTGCGTGTCGCTCGTCTTAAAGGAGCACTGGCATAAAATTTACCCATGTCAAAATTTTTACGTCAACGAGTAGCTATCGACCACCTAGTAGCGATTCACGACTTGAACGTATCTGAGTGACCAATGAGTATCTGTAATATTGATTAATATATTCTTTATCAAACGCGGTTCAAAATGGGTGGAAAGCCCGCCAAAGTGTAGTGCTGGCAGTGCTACCTCGCGGCCACGTCGAGGCCGCTGCACAGCTGATGCTGCTTTCACAAAAAATGGTGACGTCACACTGGCGTTTCGTCTGCTAGGAGCGCACGTACAGTCAGTCCAGCTGTGTCTCTGAAGGCGTAGACATGCCTCTGTCGCCAACATCGTCGTCCTCGCCGTCGTCGCGGTCAACATCGGCAAGTGCACCGCCGCGGTGGTCTACTAACTAAGGTACTCGGCTGCTGACCCGCAGTTCCTGGGTTCGAATCCCGGCTGCGGCTGCTGCATTTCCGATGGAGGCGGAAATGTTGTAGGCCCGTGTGCTCAGATTTGGGTGCACGTTAAAGAACCCCAGGTGGTCGAAATTTCCGGAGCCCTCCACTACGGCGTCTCTCATAATCATATAATGGTTTTGGGACGTTAAATCCCACATATCAATCATCAACATCGGCAAGTGATGATGACAGCGACCTGAAATTTAGTATCACCGTGATTCACGATGATCTTTGCTTGACAAGCTTCGCGTTAAATGCAATGTATTTATTAGTCCCAGCTGCGCTGTGAGAGCTCAGAAACAACTATGCACCTCATGTCGCGGACGTTTGGTGAGTGAATTGCTGCTTTCAGCTGCAGCAGGGCACACGGTAGAAATAGCCCCGGCCTCGAGAAGAGGCCTCGTACTGCCAGTGAAACCCAACTGGTTCACCAACACAGGATTTACCCTGTAGCAGCTCGCCGCAAAGTGAAGGGAGCAAATGCGGCTGTTCTTCACAAGCGTCTAGTCCCTCTGTCCAATGGCGTGTATGAACTCAACCCACTGGCTGCGTTGAGGTTCGTGGTTTGGAAAGGCACGAAACGCCACGCACTTTCCGCTTTTTCCGCGCCTCGACGTGCAGGCTGTCACTACGCAAGGGTTTCCCGACATTCTGGCATGTATTGTCACTCTGAATGATCATACTCGCATGCAGTGGAGCACAACGCAAATCAGTGGATGCGACATGATGAATCGCACACACACTTCAACACAGCAAGGGGAGCCACTAGTGAAAGCATGGCTGGGAGTTGGCTCCAAACACGCTCAGAGATCGTTGATGTCATCATTACTAGCGTATCGTCACTCAGGATGCTATTTGTGGAATGTATCACACTGAACACGTAGCACTAAAGTCTATGTCGCAGGGCAGTCTTTTTTGTTTTTTCTCCTTAGCTTTTCTACGCTGTTTGACGTCGGAATAAAATAACTTCGACGCTACAGACACCATTCAAATTTGGCCAAGAAGACCTATGAATACCAAGTGATCAAATGATGGGCACATCCCAATCTTGAAATTTGATGTCAGTGCTCCTTTAAAGACAAAAGGGAGCAGCTCTAGTGCTACAGACAGCTTGATTTCTCACCAGCACAGGCAGCCTGTTCTGCCCCACGCCGGAGCTCGTGCGTGTTCTGCATGCCCTGAAAAGACTTGTGGACGCGATTCTTTTGGACCACGCATCTCTCCATAAGCCTCTGGAGACGTGCGTCATGAAGAGCGTGGATGTAATTGTTCCTTTGCCAGTACTGCTGTGCGACCGTTGCGACCAAAGCCAAAACTGCAAATTAATAGAGCTTGTATGCAGAAAGTTTATTATGAAGCCGCTGTTCACGAACCATGCTGTCGACTGCACCGACAAAAAATCTGCGGCTAAGGTTTATCAAAAGAAGCCGTTGTCGTGAAAGTTTTTGAAGCTTTGAAGCTTGCCCGACATGCGCACCTTCAATGTTGGACTGACGCAAATAAGCGGTTTCAGTTCATCCGGTTGTTTTTTTTTTACTTGTTATGACATATTTTTCTTTACATTTGTCTTTTCTTCTGTATATATAAAATTACTATGTCTCGTTTTATTACTTCTAGCTGTGAAATTCATTTATATTTTGATCGGGATTGATCTCGTTATAGCAGAGCAATTCCTTCGAGTGCTTACATACAAAGTATAAGACACTTTTAGGACACTTTTTTTCAGAAGAACAGAATTTTTCAGAAGAACAGAATACGATTGAAATGAATCAAATAAAGTTAGAAAATTCGAGGGGCTACGCACCATTCTACCATAGCAATCAAGCAAAGAGAGACCGCGTAAAAGGGTAATAACCTGACGCCACCACGCTGTCACTCAAAGAAACAGACTGCCAATCATAGAGCGATGGGAACTGGTGTGACGCAATTGGCACAGAAAAAACACAAGCCCTGCCCTCCTCAAGGCACTTGTCCTGGGTGCCCTCCTAAAGCAAATAAATCTTGGCTCCGCCCCTGGAATGTCATGGCTACACAACCAGTGTATTCGCAGTGTGCAGGGAGGCATGCTTATGCCAGTTGTGAATTTTAAGATATCGCTGATAACATTTATATGTGGGATTTAATGTCCCAAGACCACCATATTATGAGAGACGTCGTAGTGGAGGGCTCCGGAAATTATGACCACCTGGGGGGTTCTTTAATGTGCGCCCAAATCTGAGCACATGGGCCTACAGCATTCTGCCTCCTCCAAAAATGCAGCCGCCGCAGCTGGGATTGGATCCCGCGACCTGCGGGTAAGCAGCCGAGTACTTCAGCCAGTAGACCACCACAGCGGGGCCACGAATAACATTGTGTCAAAATGTGTAATGTTGATGCTATGCAGAGCCCCCTTTTTTCTTATATTGCATGGTTGTAAATCACTGCCGTGTGATCTAAGTTTGACTTGGCAATGTTAGTCTGTTTCTTGTACAGTCAAGTCATTCAAGAAATCATAGTTAACTGTTGCACTGACAGTTAATTATACACGAATTAATTGTCCACATCATGCTTTCAGCACGAAGAGACCCATTTCAAGCCCTCTCCATGTGCTTGTAAAGAAGAAGAAAAAAGAAAAGTGGACAGTATCAGATCCACCAAAGGAATGTGCCTCTGTCAAACGCAACAGGAGCTTGTTGAAGCGTGTTCTTATTGAACAGGACACGCAAAAAACGAGCAGTGGAGGACTTCATAGTTTCCTCTCTTCTCTGTAGAGTACTATATTGTGCTTCTCAGTCACTGTCATCTGCTAATAAAAGTGTTCAGGATGCAGCTTTATGTGTAATACCTACTGGTAGTCTAATGTCCCTCAGCATGTCTTATCTCATTGGTAAGGAACATAATTTGGCCACTTTGCGAGCCAAACTATATGCTTCTGCATTCTTTATTTCTGCTCTTCAAGGGAGTTTGAAGAGCAGAAACACAGAATTTTCACAGGGGAAGTTGTGAGGCTAGCCTAGAAGTGAGCATTCGATAAGAGTACCAGGTAAAGACAAGGGCAGTGAAAACACCTGTGATTCACTTTCGGCTTGGCAGCCTTTGGATACGATGATGATGATGAGGCTCCGTGGATGATTGGCACTATAGTGAACTAGAATATGATCGAGTGGTGCAACCGGCAGGCCGTGGCTGCGTCCAAAACGACACGGACGACTGCTAGGATTTCTCGTGGCGCAACTGCCCCTTTTCATGTCATGTGCGCGAGGCGAGCGCGCCGGTGGCATCTTCTGCGGATAGCGCGGGCAGCGCACGAGTCAATCAGTGCGTATGCCTGAGTGTGTGCGAGTATGGTGTGTTGAGCCTCCGCCACCTGAAGAAACTTCGTCAAGGCCTGGAAGCTCTACCGCATATGTCAACGGGCTGACGACGCTGGTTGCGTTGTGAACTGTAGTGGCACACAATGCAACCGACGCTGGCATTCGGCGTTGCCGTCCCTGCAGCATTACTGCGCTTCGACGGAAAACTACGAATGTTGCATTGTTCTTTGTGTGCCGTCGGAGTCTGCGGAGTTGTGATGTCTACTGCTTGTGGTTGTGCTCGTGTTTGTTGGTGAGTGACTAGATTGCAAGAAGTTGCGGTGCCAAGAAGGTGTTGTGTCCACATTTCTGCGGAAACCGTGAATATGGGCCGCAAGTGTATGTATTTGAATTTCCAACTGACCAAAGCTTGCGGAAGGCATGGATACGGGCTATCCTAAGGGGAATTTTTAGCCCAACAAACATGCAAAAACAAATACTCTGCTTTTTTTTGTTTTCATGTGTTGTATTAATGTATCGTGTTATTCGGTGTCACTTTTATCCCATGCACGCATTTCGTAGTACGCGTTAAGGCCAATACCATAAACGGGAAGTATAATGCTGTCACTTTCTTGTCATTTGCAAATGTTCGAAATAATTTTTAGCCCGAGTAACGTAGATGAGAGGGCCAGTGATGTCCAGAGGGAAGTCCTATAGTGTACACGAGATGCGCTTTTTTATTCCTCAAGTCGGTGTGCGCGCTTCTCAACCAGTGTTCTTGCGGGACGCTTACCGCGCTCTTGTGAGCCATGTAAGAGAGTGAAGCTGATGAGCATCTCTTGCAGGCCGGATTACTGCATTTTCAGCTCTAACAAACTACACTACTGCATGTGTGCCATTGCACTCTGCTGCACAAGGATTCTGGTGAAGTCTGTATCTCGTGAGACATCCCGCACCAACAAACATGTAGCTTGTGACTTGTCGAAGCGAAGAACAGATTGCCACTGTTTTGCCCCGGGTTACCGAAGCGGTAACCGGGGCACTCTGAAGGCGTCATTGTTTGGATCCCCCATGCCAAGGCTCTGTACAGGTTGTCCATAAACTAATTTTGTTGTATTACGTCTGCTTGAACCAGGGAGCAAATGCGCGTTTCAAGTAGCCACAGCTGCGGCTTTGCAGGAGCCCGCGATGGTCCGACAATGCAGCTGAAGCTGGCATGAAAAGTAGCAGCGGCACCACCTGGCAGCATCCGCGTGAAAGCTGACACCAGAGCCCAGCCGGTCGCACCACTAGATCATATTCTAGTTCACTATAATTGGCACCTATCCATTCAGGGTGATGCCAAAGAGTGCTTTGTGAAGGAAGAGGAAGACTGCATTCAATTGGGTAGTTGGGGGCTGCGAACCCCGTGTGCTCAGTCAGTCGCGCTATACGAGCGCCACTAGGCCCACAGCAATAATGCAATGGTCCCACACTGCCGCCAAACTCTAAGGAGATGTGGCCATCATGAGCGGCTGCAATGTGCCCTCTTTCAAGACCAAGACATGCAGGTCATCATGCTGCCTGGCGCCCGTGTTCACCGTAATGGCATGTTTGTCGACATCTCCAAGATGTACCCGCTTCGAAGTCCGACTGTACCAATTCATCGTGCTGCCCTATGCCTGTGTTAGTCGCAACTGCATGAATGGGTGGTTGTCGACATAAGCATTGAGTCACAAGCGTGTGGTATGGACGTGCTTGATATTTCGCCAAGTCTGAAACATTATCGTCACTATAAGTGTCCAGTTTATGTGTATTGTGTCAGTTGTCCATGTCTCAGTTCTGCTTCATCTGAATTGATGAAATAATTTTTTATGTCTACTGTCTTAGCTCTGCACATCTGAGTTCCTGGACCCACGAACCATCACATTTCCTGGTTTTATGTAAAAAAAAGCATAGCTATTCTGCTTGGACTATCGTTCAAATCGAGAAACTGTTATGTCATAATAAAATGGTCTGCAAACTTCCTTCATATGTTGTCAATGTGTTTGATGGCATTAAAGCTTTCAAAGTTTACTTGCATATTTGTAGTCTAATATGCATTTTAGTACTACCTTCATTTGGGTTAATTTCTAAAGTAAGGTGAAGTAACTATGATATAACTACATACTTACAGATCTTGGTTCTGGTCATGGCCTTCGTTGAGCACTTGACTGGTAGTAAGTACTGAATGTGGCAATAGCCAATCGGCCAGTACCAGAGGCGTGGATGTGCACAACGGATAGTGGCCATCTTAAAAGGCCCCTGGCTTGGTTGCAGCATTGCAAACCAACAGCTATGGTGCATGTCTGCAAGTTGTGAAGCTCCTGTATGGAATGAAAACAAATTTAAAATGGAAGGCTGTGTGTCCTTCCTTCTGCAAGAACTGTGCTTTGAGAAAGTGTAAGGTCACATGCACATATGCCTCGGTCGCGAACGCTTCTCGTAAGTCTGCAACCAATGAGGAAATGTGCACATCCAAACTGGCTGTGAAAGTATACTGGTTCTGGCACCTGAATTCATTCATAGCAAATTACACAGTTCTACAACTGCAAGAGCACAAAGCAGCAAAGTAGAATATAAAAGGAGGCAGAGCTTAATATGGGATCACAAGTACCTACAGGACTTGCAGGGTGCAGAAGGGAGTTGACTATGGCAGTGAAGAGAGAGAAGTGGTTATAAAAGGGAAAAGAAGGGAAAAGTGAGCCCAGTAACTGTCTGCATCGGGGTGCGACACCTCAACAGTAGCTCACAAAGGATGGGGTGGGGAGGGATTAAAAGGACAGGATTAAAGGTTTAGAGAGAGAGATGTACTGGGACAGCGATCGAGGACATATCGAGGGGATACGCGAGATAGGAAAGATGGAAACACGGTCACAGGAGTCCGAGGACGGGGCACCACTTGCGAGAGCACTTGTCGACGTCAGGAGATGGCGTAGGGCAAGTCCAGTCGGCCAGAGCTACGCTGACGTCGGAGATTGCGAGGGCACAACCGGTCGGCACGGAATCCAACGAGGGAGTCCGTCAGTGAAACTTGCCACCTAAAGGCAATTGAGTATGACAGGTGTTCTTCTAACGAATCCTGTAATGAACAAATCTGAATATGTTTCTTTTGGTCAAATACTCTCCAGATGGTAGCTTCCAGCTGCATCGTGTATTTTTGCATGGTAATTTTGTAATGTGGCCTGGGGTAAACGACATGTTTCTATTGTGTGAGGGATGATTCATAGTTTCTGCATGTGGGCTGTGCATAGCTAGGCACAGTAGCATTTTAGGGTAATTCCGAAATACTCAAGCACCTATGCTGTATAGTAAATGGAGCATAATGGAATATGAGGGTTGAACAGCCTGAGAAGTGGTTTTAAATGCATAAGCTTTAATGTTATGTAAACATTGAAATTGAGATCAATGAACATATATTATTGTTTAGGACAAAGTATAGTTGTATACATTATAGATGAGATTGGAAAGACTTCTAAACGAGCATTCAAGTCTAATGTAGAAAGTATAATATATTTTGCACTGAGAAAGAAAATTCGATCTTCCATAACATATTCTTGTGAAGCTGGCACAATAATAAAATTTACTATACTTATTTGTGTCCCATCTCATCTTTTTTTGCAGTGTTGCATATCGTTGAGTATTGTTTGATTTAGTTTTTTTAAATCATCTCTCTATAGTCAACAGTGTGGCCGAACCCACTTGTGGGTATGAGCCTGGTTTCCTAGGGGATTAAAAAATTGAAGGGGCAGTTACGCTAGATGTAATGAGGTCCACAACATTTCTGGTTCATTGAATCTAATTTTCTATTGTGTGAGGGATGATTCATAGTTTCTGCATGTGGGCTGTGCATAGCTAGGCACAGTAGCATTTTAGGGTAATTTCGAAATACTCAAGCACCTACGCTGTATAGTAAATGGAGCATAATAGAATATGAGGGTTGAACAGCCTGAGAAGTGGTTTTAAATGCATAAGTTTTAATGTTATGGAAACATTGAAATTGAGATCAATGAACATAAATTATTGTTTAGGACAAAGTATAGTTGTATACATTATAGATGAGATTGGAAAGACTTCTAAACGATCATTCAAGTCTAATGTAGAAAGTATAATATATTTTGCACTGAGAAAGAAAATTCGATCTTCCATAACATATTCTTGTGAAGCTGGCACAATAATAAAATATACTATACTTATTTGTGTCCCATCTCATCTTTTTGCAGTGTTGCATATCGTTGAGTATTGTTTGATTTAGTTTTTTTAAATCATCTCTCTATAGTCAACAGTGTGGCCGAACCCACTTGTAGGTATGAGCCTGGTTTCCTAGGGGATTAAAAAATTGAAGGGGCAGTTATGCTAGATGTAATGAGGTCCACAACATTTCTGGTTCATTGAATCTAATAGTACACCTGGCTGAAAATGATGTAATGAGGGCTGCAACATTTCTCTAGAATTGGGTTCTTTGAACCCAGGAATCGACCTTGCTTAAGACATGCTGGACAGTAAAAGGTACAGAGTCCTTCACTGCAGGCAAACG